TGACGATGAGCCGAGTGAACATGCAAATTCATTCCCTGACATTAGATGGCGCCCATTTGCTCTGCAATACCACTCCATAACATTCTCTTTTATCAAGATTTTTGTAGTCGCTGTCGCGTTTGTCATATAGTTCTTTATGTTCCGACACCAACGAGACCAGCAGCTCTACATTCATCTTGCCTTGCATCTTCCTCGTCTTATTTCTTCCCGGCAGTGTTGACGCATCTTGGTGTATATCTTCTTCGCCGTTACGTATGTGTGCTCGGCAAGACCGTTTTGTGTTTGAGCGCCCCCAAGTTGTGTTTTACTGTAACTTCAGAAGCTCCAGACACGTGAGCAAAAGCGCCAATCTCATTGGTCGGATAGTTTTTGACGCGGCGCATCAAACTAAAAAAACGAACCCGAGGCGTTTTTTAAAAAATGACGCTTTTACGCGTGGCGTTTTTCGTGTCGGTGTGCACACTCACATTGGCGCCCTTTGTTTAGTCACGAGGCGTTAAACGTTGGCGAATATCGCGCGCGAAATTCGTCCCGGTGTGAACAGGCCTTTAGGGGTGTTGATGGACTCAATCTACTCGGTTACTTTTTTTAATTAAGTTAACTTCTTTTGATATATTGCATGTTCAGATATTCATACAACAAAATATTCTGGGGGCTATGAAAATTTTGTGAAATTGATCAAAAATATTGACAGGGAAAGAGTTAATTGTCATTAAAATAATGTCAAAACCCTGTTAAGACTTTATTGCATTAAATGTCCTTATTAACTATGTGATATTTTATGTTTGGTTTTAGAGTGAAATGTGACCATAGGATTGACCTTACTTAACCCTGTTTGTACCATATACTGAGCCCACTTATTAGTAAGCCTGAGAAGTCTTCACCATTTATGGAGATGTCTGTGCACAGACATGTTGTAGCAGAGTGACTCAAAAGTAGAGATGTGGTCTCCATGTTGGCACTTTCAACGGCACTCAAAAGTAAAAATGAAATGACTGTTCATCTTTGAATGAGGCACAATTGTAGCTTCATAATTAAGCCACGTCGAAAGAACTTCATAATTACGATCTAAGAATGTGGTCACATGATTTGGACAAGATCCTTTGGATTCGATGAGCTGCTCAAACTTGAGGTTCTTAATCATCAGCTTGTTTGTGGTGAGGTCATGTGACTGAGACAGTAACATTCAGAAGTTGTATTCTGGTTCCTTTTCAGTAGTATTTCTTTGCTTTTTTTGATGTAATAAAGACATGGTAATTGCACCTTGAACTGGAAAGATGTGTGGTGCAGAAATATTATAATTGATCCTACATGATGGTTTGGTTTCACTGACATTCACCCCCCCCCCCCCCCCCCAAAAAAAAAACTGGGCGGCTCTTCCTACATTGCAGTGATGACACAATATTGAGTCACTTCCTCATTAATTGCTTTAGAGCAGTTCCTACAGAAACCTCTCTGCTATAAGTGAGGGTTCAGAGATCTGGTGCTTCATTCTTCTGGAGGCTTCACTGATGGAAAGCTGTTGTGCACTTTGGGAGATCTAGTTGACTTCTGGCTGCTTCCATTCTTGGTAAGACTTTGCTAATCATTTCTTAATTTTTTTGGACAGTATTATCCCTGGAGTTGGAGCATCTCTTCAGAAACCTTTTAGGGAGTACTTGGAAGCCCAGAGAGCCAAGCTTCATAATCCAGCCGGCGAAGGAACTGCAGCGGTAAAAAATCAATCAATGCTATCAAATATTTTATGTATTTATTTATATAAATTTTAATTTATATAGATTTTAATTTATTTAAATTTATTATTATTTTCATTCTTTATTTCTGCAACGTATTTTTTGTATTTTACTTTATTTTAACAAGAAACAGAAACAAAAAAATTATATATATATTTATAATTCTTGTTGTTTATTTCCGCATTTTATTTTTTACTTTATTTTAACAAGAAACAGGAAAAAATTATATATATATTTATATATATTAATTATACTGTGTATATATAGAAATACACATGTCATACATGCATACATAATATATATATATATACTTGCTTATTCTGCTTTTTTAATTTATTTTTGTCTTTTTTTTATTTAAAAAAAATATAGGTTTAACATGGCCTAGAAAAACACATTATTTATTAAGAAAAATTTAATTTGGCCTTAAAATCTTTTAATCTTTGAACCAAGTAATTCAGAAAATGTAAAATATTTTATTTTTATATACGTTTTTTTTTGTTTTTTTTTTGTGCAGGGTGAAAGCTGGCTCTCGTGGGTATTTGAGAAAGTGGTGCTGGTCATGGTGTGCTATTTTATTCTGTCCATCATTAACTCCATGGCACAGAGCTACGGCAAGCGTCTCCAGCTGAAGAAGTACTCAGAGGAGAAAACAAAATGACGGACTCACAGAAAAACATCTCACGCTCCTGTTTTGGAACCTACGAAATATTTAAGCTAAAACTGCTACATGAGCACTGATTTGTGTGCGCTTCTGTATGTTAACGTTCATTCAGATCCCTTTAGTTACGTGAAGTCCCTCTTCATTTGTCTGTAGTGTGCTCTACTATTTAAAATCAGATTTAACATTTATAGAGAATTTTGTCTTTACAGAACCAAGGCAGTCTAGCTAACAGGCTGTGTGGGGTCATATTTGTTGCAATGCCTTATGCAACATTTGGAGGTCATGCTTCCATTGAAGTGAATACAGTTCTTAATCAATAGATTGACTTATTTAATTTCTAACATACAGGTATGGATGGGCAGGGTCTGTTTTGCGAAGTGTTGTGATTGGAATTTTCAGGGATAGTTTTTTTTTAATCAATATTGATGTCATTTTGTATTTCTTTAACTGTTTAAAAGAGGATAGCAATATCAACTCAGATCATTGTGGTTTCTAAATAGTTTGCACATCTTGTAAATAATGTTTTGACTATACGCACATGTTTATTCTCCAGAGATCTTAAACCAAAATGTCACAAACTAGTGGATGTAACTTTTAACTCAAGAAACTGAAGATGTGATATTTGCATTTGTTTGTGCATTTCAACCTTTGACATTTTAACTAAAACCACAAGTTGATCCATACTTTCCTCTTTTCTTATTTTGGGCTGAAATATTTGTGTGGCTAACTATAATTTCTCTCAGAACCAACATTAAATTGATTAATACATCTGCTGTGTTGCATGCGCGTTTTACCTTAATCTGTGAATTATCCCCCCCCCCCCCCCCAAAAAAAAAGATTAAAAAGAACTTCTTTGGGTTCAGACCAATGGGTGACAAGTTGTAGGATGCAGCCCAAAAGCAGGTATGTGAAAGGCAATTAAATATCTATCCATCTGTCTGTCTATCTTTGTTCTATCCATTTTACTCATTCTGTATGTCGTTCTTCGTCTATATCTGCCTGTCATTCTATCTGTTGTTCTATTAGTCATTCTATGTCCAATCTGTTTGTTGTTCTGTCTGTCATTCTATCTCTCTATCCTGTCTGTCATTCTATTTCTGTCTGTTTCTCTCTCTCAGACAGCTTATGTACTCACTTTCAGGTGTAGCATGTTTCAGTAGTATGTTGTGCTCATACAGCCTCAAGTTTCCCATTCTGTCAGGTAGCTTATCAGACTGGTGTTGGCTGTAATTCATATGGCAACAGCAGTCTAATAGGCTGCCTGAAATTTTGGGATTGGTCACCATCTGCATGTTTTCAGAGCTGAATTTTGTGCCATAAATCTTGAACTGAACAATATTTACTAACTGGTGAATGTTCTCTCCAGTGTGCCGATGGGTCTGAGCATTTAATGGATTATTTCCTGGTTTGTGGAGGCAGATGGATCGTATGCGAACATATTTAAGTACAACAAATATTTAGCTTTTATAAATGTAGTGTAAGATCAATCACTCTATTTTTTTGTTGCGTTCAGCTATTTCTTTAGGAGAAAGATGTCAAGGCCAATTATATATTTTACATTTCATTATCACAATAAAAAGCATTGTGTTTGTCACACGTGTTTGAGTTTTTCCCCACTGACTAAAAAGCACTTTATAGTGTTACTAGTGTTTTTCCCCCTCATTTTTTTTCACCATTAGCAACAAAGCATGACAGTTGGATGGGGGCCATATGTGAACACTTCTTCAGTGCGAATTCAAAAGCGTCATTGTTTTTTTAAATGGGGCTCTTTTGTTGTTTGTGACGGCTCATTGATGAATCGTCTTTTTCTACTACACTTGCAGATTAATTCAGGATAATGCAGATTCCATCCATCTATCGCAGTATTCCACCCTCTGCTGTACAATTTGACTGTTCATTATCTTGTTACGTAATAATGCTGCAGAATGTATTTACCAGAGCCGTTGAAAAATTGTGAAACTGCTGTCTATATTGTTTTTTTTCAAAGAGATTGATTGTGCCGAGCTATTTTTTTTACCATAGACATAATAAATATATATTATGTCTATGTTTTTTACAGTCTATGGTGCCGAGCTATTAAACCACGTGACCGCGTGGCGGTTAAACAACAACCGCCCTCCCCTCTCTCCGGCTACTATTGTTGTATGTTACATCTCTCAGAGATTTATTCAATATCCAATAACTCAAAATATAATAACTTATTCAATTGCAATATACAAACGATTAAATATGTATAAAAAGCAATATACCAAAAACAAAAATGGGTAATACTAAAAAAAACAATTGTAATTGGTAATCAATATTTTGTATTACATATACAAAAACAATTCCAGAGAAATACCAAAAAAAGTTAGAATCAGAAACACTAAAAACCTGACAATCATTAATTGTATAATCAGTAATCATAGATAATCAAAGACAAATAAAAACAAAACAAATTATTGGCAATACTAATGAAATGCAGGCAATCTGTAATCATGGAGCAAACCCAGGGGGGGGGGGGGGCAAACTAAGACATTTTGAAAGTCTTATTTTTCCAGTTCAACTTTCTTATGCAGACAGTGCAGAATGGTTATTCATAAGTGGCTTGAAAAAATGAATTAGCATCACAATTAAACATTGCTTTTATTTCATTAAAATATATTTAAATTATTCAAATAAATGATCTATGGTAAAGTTAGATAAACAAATATTTGTATATCACAAAATGATAAATTTAACTGCCCTATTTTAACAAATATATTTCTCCAGAGGCCAGTTAAATCATATAATATGGAATCCGTATTGTCAAATCTTTATGATAAACCGACTATGATAGGTGTGTGTAGCTGGAGATGATCTGCTCTAGTGCAGTAAAACTGTCCAGAAAATCCTCCTCAGAGATTCCAAACTTTGTATACTGATGAACATAAGCCCTACAGGGGAAAAAAAGAAGAAAAAAAATAGCATTTAAAAAATAAAAAAAGACACTACAGAAATGTTTCCAGTATTAATGCTACTGTATGTCTCACCTTGAGGCAAACATGTTCCAAGCCTTCCTGACTATATTGTCCAGTGGTTTTAAAAGGTACTGGCTGTTACTGACCAAAGTGGCAGACTTTTCATATCCATTGAAAGCTACAGGGGAGTTCCATGTGCTGAAACAATTTTCTGTTTTAAGCCACGGCACATATAACGCAGGATCCTTAAAACCATCTGTTGATTAAAGTATTTTTCATGTTAGTTTCCTATCCACCTTATGTGACCAAAAAAGTTTGAGAACCACTGTCTTACCCTGATTCACTATGGTAAGACTATCATAAGTGTTAATATTTTAGACCTGACGCAGGCTGACGGGACTGTTTTCATGGGAAATTGCGTACATTCACTTGTCCGTGCGTGTCTCGTCATATCTGTAAATAGAGAAAAGTTGCTCCGGCTACTTTGACGTGTGAATGCTGTGGGACTGGCATTGGTTAGTTGTCTAAAGCCGAGTTCAGACTGCATGATTTTAGCCCCGATTTTGGCGGCGATTCAAAATCCTGCCGTGTGACCGAATTCTGACCGAAAACTACATCGGCGATGACCGATAGCCAATGAGAGAGCAAGATACAGGACAGCAGGATTATTCGGGGAGGAGTTAGACCAGAATATCAGTATTTTAATAGATATATTTACAATTATATAGTAGCCTATACATTTGCTTGACCAGCAGCACATTTCAAAATAAATTGTTTTACCCCCCAACTCTCTTTGCAGAACATATAATCCTTGCTCTCGTCTCCCCAACCATTTCCTCCTGCATAATCTGTTTTTTTTTTTTTCAAATATTCCTGTCAATAATTCTCCTTTTCACTGCAAATCAGCGCACAGACAATTGACCGTTCGCAAAACCCCGCCCTCGAATGGTCCTCGTTCAATCATAGCTCAGCAACTGTAACTAAGGAGAAGGACCCCCGTCAAACATTGCGATTTCAGCAAGATGGTGAAACGATGCGCCTATGGCACCTGCAAGTCTGACTCCAGGTACCCCAAAAGTTTAGAGGGAGGGGTCGTTTTTTCCCCCCCGCCTTTCCAAAGCCCAAGAGGAAAGATGCCGACAATGCAGGGCTCCAGACTAACTTTTTGCCTTGGTTGCACTGGTGTGCCTAACTTTTTTATTTAGGTGCACCAGCACAAAATTTAGGTGCACTAAAATTTTTCCTCGTCTCGCGTCGCCTTTAACGCCACAATTTCAAGGTCACCTTTTTATCACGCTCCATATACATTCATATATATATGTAAATGCTTTTAAACAAGAATAATAATAATACATTTTTTTTAAGCACAATTATACTGTATATAAAAATGTTAATCTTTAAAAAAAAAAACATTTAAAGTGCTGTTTTTACATTGTTCAAGTTAGGACAGGGTATTGACACAAATTTCACAATTCGATTCAATATTGATTATTTTGGATATCAGGTACAATACATGGCAAATTTTCTCAAGGAAAACAAATCTCTTAACTAATGCTGTAAACTGGGAGTCAGTTGTAGCCCACTATGCTTCATTAGCCTACTATAATATTGAAGGTAAAAATTACCTGATTTGTACACAAACACTTAAATTACACTTATTTATTTTTATAATAATAAAGTTATATGAAATGTAAACATTTAAATGGTGGCTGCATAAAAACTTGCCAGATTTTTTCAAACAACATGCATTAAATATTGAAAAACATTAAAAATTTATAATGAATATGCAATATGGTGCATATATTTGGCAAAATGCTCCTCCCTAGAGTTAATTTTTCTAGCTAGCTAACGAGTTTATGGGCACTGGATATGTTTTTTCTGAGGTAAATGTGACGTTACATGACATTGTTTACAAGCGTTTTACTGACGTCTTTCCACGGTTGAAACACTGATTGAGCGATTCCATGTGAAAGATACGGATTTCGATAAGTTGTACTCTATCTTTTAGCACACTTTCAGATGCTCGTTCATGTTTATTTCGCGCTGTAACTGGTATTATTAAGGCGGAAGAGAAGATCATGTGCACTCCGCGCTGCTGCTTCTCTGGGGCTGAGCTGAGCCAGAGCGATCTCACGCAACAGCGTCAAAACACTATATTTATGTTTTTGAATTTCATAAGAAAATGGACCTAATTTGAAATCTGAGACTTTGTTTCATATCAATAGTAACAAAGCACAAAGATTATTGCGATTTATTGGATGGGATGCTCGCTACAATGTTCCATTCATTCATCAACTGAAAACAGCATAGCCAAATGGTTCGTAAAATGAGAATCGATTAAAATCGAGAAATCAATATTTTTTACCTAGTTCAAGTAGCCTACATTTTTTTGTAGGCGAAGTTTCTTCGTCGTCTGTTTTCTTGCGTTTATTTAGCTGATGCTGCTGATTGCCGTAACTGATTCTCTGGTGCTCACGTCGCAATTTATTTCAATCACACAGACAGCACGGAGCATTTTAGTCCTACAGGAATATCTGAACCACAGCCAATCAGAGGCAAAGACCAGCCCAATCTCTATCTCTGATTGGTTTAGACCACGATATGATCCAACCATGCGTGCAAGGAGAACAAAAGACTCGTTTGTTGAGAGGCAACGGATGCGATCATGCGAGAAGGTTAGGTGCACTGGTGCGACCTAGGAAAAAATTTAGTCGCACACAAATTTTGGTCGCATATGCGACCAAATTGGTCGCACTCTAGAGCCCTGCAATGGATTAAGCAGTGTGGGAGACCTCACCCACAGCTAAATGCCTCGAAGATTAATAAGCATACATGGGTGATTCTCACGAAACCATTAAAACACCACGGCACTAATGATTTTAAATATTAAACATGTTATTTAGTAATATAAAAAAGCATCACAATAAAGACAATACTGATCTCTACCTTGCACAATGTGTAATTTCAACATGGGAATAATTTTATTTTCTATTTTACTGTATTTTCTGCGAAAATTATCATTACCGTAATGCGTCCAACTTAACTGAATGTATGTTATGATGTAATTTAAACAAATTAAAATAAAAATAAATCAGAAAAAAAATAAATGGATGTTCTACTAGATTATTTCAGATGATAGAAAAAATAATTTACTGAATATTCATGTATAATAATAATGTAAAAAACTAGGAAAATGATGTGTCCATGACTGCGGTTCTCATCCTCCATAACATTTTTTGAGGACTGTTAAAACGCACATTCAGAATTTAAATAAAGTTTGATTTTGAATAAAGAAGCACATGGGCCAGTTCCTTCAAGATGGCTACTAGGTAAGAAGATCTCTTTATATTTCTCCAATTAAATGTAAAATATTCACTTGTCAGAATGTGTACACGACATATTGATTATCATTACCGAAACAAGTAGTTTTCTATGTTTAGAAAATTGTTAGATTTACAATTTTTTATAAAATTGTACTTCATTAATGTCTAATTATATGCACTGAGTAAAAGATTAGCAAAGTCATCATGGATTCTCTATTGTTAGCAAAACATACCAAGGCACCTCATCCTCCGAAACACCATTCTCATACACTGCAACCATTTAAGGCCAGTTGCGGTAGAGAGAACTTCTGTTTCGGAAATGAGAATTTAATCATTGTGTACTACTTTTAAATATACCTTATGGATTTAATATGAATTTAAATATTTTTTCTAACTGTTGATATTTTGCTTCATGATTTGTTTCATTGTTGGCAGTCAGCAAGTGAGAAAAAAAAAGTTTTAGCCATGTTGACAAAGTTCAGGGAAAAATTATACAGCAACCACTGCTCGAGGAGTACAGAAGGAGAGAGAGAGGTTAGGTTTGGAGATGTTGCAGGTGTAATCAGCAATAAACACTCTACAGGGCTAGGAAATGTACATGAGCGTACACCCACACACACACAGCCTTTTATCCACTACTATAACAGGGCTATATAAATAAATAAATCTGCAGCAAAACGTCATTCATATTAATAAAACACTTAAAAAACTTCAATAGTTTTAATTAATAATTGTGTAATAATATTGTAATAATTATAGTTGATAGTATTCCTGTTCCTGAAAACTTCTGTTAGATCTACCTGAAAAACTTGAAGCACTCTTTATTTCAGTTGTATCTTTATTCTATTGTATTTATTTGTGCTTCCGTTCACTGTAAAACCCAACAAGTTAAGCTAACTAATTTCATTTGAGGAAACCGATTGCCTCAATTCAATTAAGTTTATAAAAACAATAGTTATGAGTACTCTGAACTTATTTTAATCGAGTCCACTAAAACAATGATATTTCTTAATACACAATTAAACTTTACACTGCATTTAAATACTTTATATAGCTGAAACTTCACTATATTGAGTAAAAACAGTGAAATGACAAACTTTAAATGAACTCCGAGTACTTGCAGTTACTGGTAGCTCACAATATTACACATAAAGTAAAATACAATAAGTTAAGCTAACTCATTTCATTTGAGGAAACCGATTGCCTCAATTCAAAGTTGATGAAAACAATAGTTATGAGTACTCTGAAATTATTTCAGTTGAGTTCACTAAAAGTAGATATACATTGCAGTCAAGAATTAAGTGATTAATTTAGTGATTATTGAGCATTAGTGATGAACACCTGCTGTTAACAAGCAGAATCACAGAAGGAAAGAGAAACACAAGAACTACAACTGTCTTCAGACACAGTCTTAGAGGAAATCAAATGAAGATAAAAGACGACATTACATCTGTGAAGATCTCAGCAGAGGAGGATTAAACAACTCCACAAACAGCATCACCTGCTTCACTTATTACTGACCAGATTGACTTTATTTCTGTCAGACATCTACATAAGTTGCAATTGAGAATGAACAGAGGCTTAGATGATGATGATGATGATGTATTGTTTCATTTAAAGACTCCATGATAGTGGTCAGTGTTTGCTTTAGTTGGGCTCTTGACCCTTGACTTTATAACACCAGATTTTCTCTGGCTGCTGAAACTGAGTGTTTATAAAACACATTTGTTATAGCACAAAAGCCAAAAGGAAATATGATCATGTGTTGATGGTTGTGTTTTGATGATGAAAATCATCAATTAGTGACTTGATTCCCTGATCTTTTTTATAGCCTAATATCTGAATAAACAGGTGATGTATTACTTGTATTATACATTATAATAGAACTGTGATTCTACTGTAAGGTCCATTGTTGTGACAATCAGATTTCAAT